CCCCTGCCCCTCCCCTGAGCCCTCCCTGACCCCTCCCCAAACCTCTCACCGGTGACACCGATGGCCGACACCACCGCGTCCGCCGGGAAGCTCTCCACCTCCCCTGTGGTGACGTCACGCGCCTTGACCTCCCGGATGGCCCCCGTCTGCTCGTCTTCCACCAGGTCCACCACCAGGCGGCCCCCGGCAATGCGGCCGCCGGCTGCCTCGATGCGCTTGACCTGCGATTCATCATGTTGTTGGCGCAGCCTGATCATAAGCAAGCAAAAAAGCTCAGGTTAATGTAAGAATCTATACCGAACCACCCCTGAGCAATACGCACAAAACACGTTGTCACACCGGTGTTGTCACCAGGTGACCCTAACAGTGCGAGAAATGTGCCTGCATGGCGTGGCACACGAAGCCTGGCGACTGTCGTATGCCGCATACAATTAATGCCGCGCCCGCGCTGACGCCCACCAACGGTGTGAAGATGAGCTCGCTGATGGACCCCTTGGGCCAGCACACATCAAAGCTGGCCGTCAAGGGGGTGAGAGCACACGCGAAGGCAGTGGGTGCGTCAGGATTTGCAGAGGTCGCCGGTGATGTGCCAGGGGCAGGTGCCAGCGCTGCACAATCTTTCCTCGGCCCTGCAATGCCTTACAATCAATTCCCCCTCCCCCCCACACACACGTGCGCTCACGGCCCTTCCCCGATGCAAGTGGCCCTCGTTGACCGCAGCCCCCACTCCCCACCCCCAGGCCACACCCCCAGCCAAGCGCCCCTGCACCCAGCCGCCGGCCCTCACTTGTTCTGGTGGCCCAGGGCGTAGAACTCGAGGGTCTCCAGCATCACCGCGGCGCTGATGTCCTCGGGCGGCGCGAACAGGCCCACCAGCAGGGTGGGACGCAGGAACTCGTTGTACTGGCGGGGAGGGGGGATTGATGGGGTCAGGGTCGATGCGGGCTGATAACACGGGCCAATAACATCATAGTACAGCCACAAGCTTATGCCTCCAGCCGGACTGATATCGGAGGGAACAGTAAGCATGGCAATCAAAGGTCACAAACTGCTGAGACAAGCACAGGCAACCAAGCAAGCTCAAGCCGCACGACCCACAGCAGCACCCAGCGCCCAACACATCCTCCCCCTCACCATGCGCTCTGACATGCCCCACTGCCGGCAGAGGTCCCGGGCGCTCATTTTGTCATAGCTGGAGGCCGGCAGGGGTTTGGGAGGACGGGTGGATTGCGGGGCGGCGAATGGATTCGGCACTGATGCCAGATGCATGTGGGGTGAGTGGCAACGGTAAGCAGCCAGCAGAGTGTGAAGTTGGGTAGCTCAGGGCAAGGCGGCAAAGGGGGGGGGCAAGGTACGGGGGGCTGGGCAGTGAAACCAACGCATCAAACACTGGGTAAAATGCAGGCGGGAGGCGGTTTGGCTAGGGCAGGTTGCGGCAGGGCACTGCGGGTCCCGGACTTAGCTTGTGTCGTCGCAGGCTCGCTGATGGCCTGGCCCCACGCACCTCTCGAAGACCTCTGGGCTGGACTTGTAGTCCAGCAGGGTGGTCAGGAACGGCAGCATGGTCAGGCGCTCCTGGGGATGTGGGGCGGAGGGAGCAGAGAAGACCCCGTACATTAACAAATGGCGGCGCGGCGGAGCATGGCATGGCACCCAGAGAAGTGTGTGCGCCTCCGCAGGTGCCCACGCTCGCCAACCAGACGCAAGGGGTCCATCCCGCCGACAACGGCGTCAACCACCTGCTGGCTGCGCCGGCTGTCCTCCTGGACGTCGCACCTGGCCGCCCACGCTTGCGTGCACGCACACACGTGTGCGCAAGCACATAGGCATACGCGCACACATGCACATGCACGCACATGCACGCACATGCATGCACATGCACGCACATGCACGCACATGCATGCACATGCATGCACATGCACGCATATGCATGCACATGCACGCACATGCATGCACATGCATGCGCACGCAGGCCGTCCCCGGCACCCGCTCTCCCTCCCACCTCCAACGGCAAGCTCCACTGCAGCCCTGCCGTGTGCACAAACTGCCCGAACAGCGTGGGCAGCTGCTGCTGTTTGCTGAACACCGGCGCCTCTGTCGTCAGCCCCTTGGGGCTCCAGAAAGCGGAAGTTGTCCAGTCAGTCAGCGGCCACGGGATGCCGAGCTCGCGGATGAGGGCAAACAGGTTCTGGTATTCGTACCAAAATCCTGGGATATAGCGTGGGGCGCGGATGGTTAGGCGTGAAAGTGAGGGTGGCGGGGCTTGGGGTGTGGGTGTGGGTCTATACAGCACACCAAACGTCCCCGCAGAGCTGCGGGTTAGCGAGGGGGTGCTGGCGGCGGCGGCTGTTGAGGTGGACATGGTGGGCCGAGCCACCTGCTGCCTGACGGCGCCTCGGGTGCTCCTGATGCGAACGGTATCGCCGCCGCCGCCCCTTGAGTGGGCTTGTGCGGCTGGGGGCCATGCACGGATCAGTTGCCTGGCAGCAAGACCAGCCGGGCTTCACCACATTGACAGGGTCCGCCAGGTGAGTCAGTTGACCTCGCCCTCACCCTTCATGCCCGCCTCGACCACCTTGCCCTCCTTGGTCCTGAAGCCGCCAGACAGGCCGCCAGGGTTCAGGGACGCCTCCTGCGTGTGAGGGGCCGCGGCAGAGCGGGGCGTTGCGTCGGAGCTGCCACGTGCGCAGTTCAAAAACAGCGGCAGGGCCTGGCCCAACCGCCTGCTGCCCGCAGATACGCTCGCCGCCTCATTTTGGCCAGCTGCCGCAGCTTTCTGAGGACGAGCGTGCGCCCGGCTGTTCTCATGCCTCTGCCTCTCAGTGCCTCGTATCAGGCCACGCACCAGGAGGGTGACGTTGTATCCCTGCTCAGACAGGTGCTTGGCAGCCCCAAAGCCCGCCCAGCCGCCTGCGCGGCGTTGGGCACAGCGGCACGCTCGTGCGTCAAGCCTTCAGGATCCCGTTGACCCATGTCATGTGCTGCCCCCTGCCTGGGGACGATGAGCTTGCTGACTGCACTGGCCCCTGCCCCCCATGCCCTGTCAGCCAGCTTGATGGGCGGGCCCGCCCATGAACGAATGGCCGGGGCGCACCCGCCGCCCCATGAGTCTGCATGGGGCCGTCACGAGAGCAGGATTTGACCCACCGCCAATGACCACGACGTTCTTGCCGTTTTTGGGGGCCGCCTCTGCCGCCGCTGCAGCGGCGCAGTGCACCGGGCGTCGCCCCAGTGCGGACCTCCCGCCCAGCGCCACTGCCGGGCGCCCGGGGGTTGGCTTGCGGTGCATGCCGCTGTGCAGATGCATTTCTACCTGGAATTATCCTCTAGTGTTTGAGCGGCCAGATGGCCGCGGAGCGGTGGATCGATAGAAACCACAGGAGAGGCGGGAAGCCAACAGCACAATGAGCCGCCCTCGTTATATTGAACAAAACAAGAACATGCTAATTTGAATAATTGAACTGTTGCCCAGGCTTATCCAGCTTTAGATCATTATCAACGCGCACGTCTTGCACGGGAGCATCGCAATCCGAGCTCATTGCCTGCCCGTGGGTGCCAGCGACACGTTGCTCGGTGATGATACCCGTAGCGTTGTCCGGAGCCGCTGGAACGGCCGCGCCGACGCCCGCAACCAGGCGGGTACAGCCCTCCGCCGCCCACATGGCCACGCCCTCGCGGCTGGCCGCGTCCTTCCGCGGCCGCCTGCCCGCCGCCGCGGGGGCCGCAGGACAAGCGTTCGACACCGAGGCTTACGACAAGCAGCGCCTCGAGCTCGATGAGCAGGCGAGGAACACGATGATCCGAAAGGCGCGTGCGGTCTGATCCCCGACAGACCAGCGCGCCTCAGAGGGAGCCCCCACCGGCACACACAGCAGCGCGCTCCCGCTCCCGCTGCGCCCAGCGAGGCCCCCGACGCGCGCGTCGCGCCACGTACAGCGCTCTCGGCTCTGTCACCACGTCAGCCTCCGGCCACGGCCGTACTTTGGTCTGCCGACATGGCTGTATCCGAGCTCGTGCTGAGGTCTTTCAGCAGTCATGATCTCATCCCACCTCGTCTGATCTGATCTGGGTGCGCCCGTCCCTGCAGGCCGAGCTGGACCTGGCTGCGCCCCCTGGTAGCAAGGAAGGCGCGTGGAAATGGGAGATGCGCAAGGTGGGGGGCGGGGGCGGATGCCAGGCAGGCTGAGGAGATGGCTTTGTCGAGCAGGGGGACGACGGGGCGGGCTCTGGCGAGGAGCTAAACCCCAGCCGGCGCCATGACAGCTGCAGCGTAGAGGCCGGCGGGCATTCACGCCACCCTCAAGTCTCCCTGGGCTCCACCCAAAAACCTTTTTCCCAGAGCATGTGGGACTATATGGAATCAAACGACATTGCGCGGCCCCCCAGGCCGGTCTACCACCGCATCCCAAACGTGAGCCGGGTGCTCCCCACTCCCCTGGCACACTCGCCCGGCAGCAGCTTGGCTGTTGGCGTCTGCACGACACACCGCTTGCGTCTCGTATGAGAACACTCAATTGGCCGGCGCTGCGCGCACCGGCAAACCGAGGTTGTCACCTTTGCACTCATGACTAGTGTTGACTCGGACGCTTGAGCTGGTTGCAAAACTCACTCACTGTGTGCTGCAGTTTGTCAACGCTGACAAGGCGGCCGAGCTTTTGGCAGAGCTGCCAGAGTTCACAAACGCCAAGGTCAGGGGTGGAGGGTTGGGTTTCGGGTGCCACGGCTGCCCTGCTTCCCGCCCTCCACTCGGCCGCGGCCACCGGCAGCAGCCTTGGTGCCTGAGCTGCACCACCGTGGTTGCACGTTTGGCGATATGAGCGAGTTCGACGTGCACATGTGCATTTGTACCAAGGCGGCTTGCAATGCAAACCGCTCCTCGTGTGCACTGAACGCCGTCTGTCCCCCCTCGCCCGCCCCAGCTGGTCAAAGTCAACCCTGACACGCCCTCCAAGCCGGTGCGCGCTCGAGTGCTGGCCGCGGGCAAGACGCTGCTCTCGCCGCAGCCGCGCCTCAGGACAGGTGGGCGCGCGGGCGAAGTGCCTTTGCCGAGCCCCCCGCGCTGGCGCGGGCGCCGCTCGGCTCACACGGCAAAGGTGCTGGGACCCCAGCCAGCAGGGGTGGCATGGGCCCCCCATGTTCTGTGTGGCATATCAGGCGCACCGCAGACGCTCGTCACGGCTGCCCGCCACCGCTGGCAGCCTCAGAGAGCGCGGCAGCATCACTAGCCCTTTGCGACCGCCGCCGCGCCTCAGGGTTCTTCTCTGTCCTGGACTCGGGCCGCTTCCCGCCGGACGCCCTGAGAGAGGCCTGCACCTCGGCGGGGGCGGCCAAGTTTGGGCGCCCCCTGGGGCTGGAGGAGACCAAGGGGCTGAAGGTTGACCTGCTGGGTGAGGCCCGCGTTTGGGCCAATCCGGGGT